TTGAAAAGCTTCCCATACAGGAAGAAAGCTAAAAACACACTAATGACAGATATATTTTAACAATTATTTAACTGAATTCACAAACTTTGTTTTTGCAGGGAACAAAACAAATCAGTTTTAAAGTTTTAAAGCCACAACATAACCAGTGCTAAGTTTTTTTTGCAGCTATTTTTCTTTGTATCGTTTTCTTAGTATGTTTGATTTGGTGATAAGTGGAGGCGTTGCAGAGACAAGGGTGGAACNATATATAATTACTGGGTCCCCGCTCCATCTTGCCATCAGTTTGGGGGTCCTTGACCTGATAAATGTTGAATTAAACCTTAAAGTTTGGAGCTGGTTCAGCAGAGGGCGCCGTCATTCCATTTACCTGAGCCAGTTTGGAGCTTAGAGCCACTTTCAGCCCCTGCACTCGGACCTTCATGGGTAACATGTAATAGTAACTGTTGGGTCCTCTTGGTCCATGAGAAACCCCACCTGAGGAGAAAAAAAATGTAACTCCTTCCAGATCACAGAACTTAAGGAGGCAGCTGATGAGTTTTTGGAAAGTTAAAGGTGTGTAACAGCAGTATAGGAGGAGGACAGGGGTTCATTTTGACGTCTTTAATCCAGAGGAGAGCAGCGGACAGTTACCTCCTCTCCACAGCGGTGAGCGGATGCTTCCATGACGAGCTTTCCCACTTCCTTTTTGATTCCACGGTTTCTTGCCTCCACCTCTCACCTCTGACCTCAGCTTTGTGTTGGCGTGACTCTGAGACATTCACATAGACATTCCTATCGTTACTGGTCGGAATTTCTATTAATTTTATCAGAAGGAAACATATTTCAGATATCATAAATGTTCATTCAAGCTGATACATTTCAAAGTATTATTTTTTTTTTCTTACTTTCTGAAATTCAGTTTTTGCTGCTAAATGTAATTTAGAAAATCTGTTATTACAGTTCTGCCTAGTAAGATGTGATTTTGACCAGGAAGAATCATTTTTAAGTGATCTTGGAATGGAACAACTAGAGGAGAGTGTTTTTAATAAATGTTAAAACAGCTTGCCATAGCCCACTTCATATAAACCTACGCATCAACACAAGCAGCAACCTTCTACGCCTTTCTCTCCTTTGTAGCAGTTTCTATGTCTTTTAAAAACATTCTCCTGTGTTTTTTTTTCTTCCATTTTTGCATATCTGCATTAAAATTTCTAGTTCCAGTGGTGTGAAATAAGTAGGGCTGCAACAACGAATCGATAAAATCAATAAAAAATCGACTTTTAAAAGCGTTGGCAACGAATTTCATCATCGATTATTTGTGTCGCGCGATTAATGCGTCATCCGCCGCCGCCGTCATCACTGCCACTTGACTGAAACGGGTGAAGAAAAAAAAATTACGGCAGAGCGAGCCAGCGGCGCAGGTGAGCAAAGGCTGTTTTCAAAAGACAGTAACGTCAACTGCTCTATTGACCGATACCGCAAACGCAAGCTGCTCTCAATTCGCAGACAGCCTGCGCTTTGTAAAGCGAAAAAAGTCGTAAAATGCAACTTTTGTAAAAACAAATGAACATGGCACAGAACCACCACTGTTATGATGCAGCGCCTGAAAAGAAAACACCGTTGGAGCCTTCGATGGCAGAGAAGAGAGCTGATCAGCAGGATGAGCGGCCATGTTTGTTTCATTTTAAAGTGGGGAAAC